CAAGCATGCTGCTGTTTGAAATAAACTATAGACTGCCCTTATCGCTTCTGCTCTTCGAAACACGTGCATCACTGACTTTTTTGGGCAAAAAAAGTTTGTGTTTTCCCTTGCAACTTTTTTAAAAGCTGTGTTTCATTTACTACGAACTTCAGGATACAGCGTATGGATGCCGCGTTAGGCCCAGGTTCGTTATAAGCGGGCTTGATTGTATTTACCCCTGCCCCCACGGCAAATCTGTCATTTACAACGAATGACATTAGGTGACTTAGGTAGTCATTTTATCTTACTCTGGACACGTCGAAAAGAATTGTAAATTTAAAATGATGACCATGACCTTAGCCCTCCTGATCTATGTGTTTGGGAGAAATAAGTCTATTAAAGCTTGCATGAACCATGTGTATCCTCCAAAATAATTCTTTACCAGTAAAAAGCTGCTCCAATAATATATATCTAGTGGTTTTACATAACTTGCCCCAGCTGCATGACACAAACGAAGTCAAGCTGAGAGCCAATCAAAAACCAACATGGTCGACTACCGTATTTACTCGATTCTACCGCGCCCTCGATTGTAACGCGCACCCGATTTCCACCGCGGGAAAAAAAAAAAACAACGTAAGACATCGATTGCAACGCGCACCCATTTGCATGATCACACCACTCGAAAAAAAAACTTCTTTCGGGAGCGTCTTCCATTTAAATATGAGGTACGGGCGAAGCTTGTGCCCATCTGACGTGTAACAGAGCATTGCCGTCACTGTAGTTTTACCGTGGACCGATGTCAGCACGCGAACTTGCTTCGCCCCCTTCTTCTCGACGGTTGTGGTGCCAGGCATGTCGAAGTAAAGAGGCGTCTGATCGGCATTCCCGATTTGCCCAAGCAGGTAGCCGTTGTTGCGCCCCAAGTTCAGAACGAACCTCTGAAAACTGTGAAGCTTTTCATCGTGTTCCTCCGCAAAAGTTTTCGCATATGCATGTTCCCCTTCGGAGGGAGAAGCCTTTCCTCTTCATAAAGTTAGTTAGCCAGCACCTGCTCCCTTTAAACTGGCTCCGCATTAGACCTTTTTCTAAGACCAATTGCATAGCCCGCACTTGGAGCAGTTCTGTCGTCACGGGCCGCTGTGCCGCTCGCTGCTCAAGCACATTAAGAGCTACTCACCGAGCAGCTCTTAATTTGTGGAAACCGACCCTGCTGTGGTCCACTGAAGCCTTTGCATGAAGCTTTGCTATCGACAATCTTCTGCTTTTGTTTCCGCCGGTCCCGCACGCACGTTTCGGGAACTCCGAACGACCGCGATGCGGCCCGATTTCCGTCCATTTCTGCACACGCGATAACTTTTCTTTTAAAAGTGGCATCGTGGTGCACTCGAGTTTTTGGAGTCGGCCCTTCCACGCCGTCGATGCTAATGCACTACTAGATGAACTCCTCAGCGCACGTACGAAGTGCCGCACATGGAAAACACATAGGCAGAAATGGGCGACGCGCCATGCCGACGCACATAGGGGGCGGCCATTTTGGATTTGCCGATGGCAATAGATTGACCGTAATTTTTTTGTGCGTACTCGATTCTAACGCGCATGCGATTTATGAACTGGCTTAACCGGAAAAAAGGCGCGCGTTAGATTCGAGTAATTACGGTATATTTCAGAGTGTGGTTCATGGTGTGGTTATAGTCAGCTGAAGCATGAGAGAACAACTGACACTTCGGCTACAAAAATGAGAGGACAGCAGCAATTTCATGTAGTTACCACCACAGGCGTAGCCAGGGGAGGGGGGTGAACATTTTAATTTAGCTTGCATGTATATGTATGTACACCTATACATGTACATGCACAAACATACAAAAAGTATCATTGAACCCCCTTCGAAAACATTTCTGGCTATGCTGCTGGTCACCAATACATGTGCAATCGGATGAACAACACCAGCAAATACAGGCGGAGACGACGACTGAGCACGAATGAAACATGGCTGGCATCCAGCCGCTACGGTTGAGAGTAGCTTTCTTCTAGAAACTCCTGCGCATTCTATTATGTCCATATACCAGTAATAAGTTAATCTAACTAAAAATAAGATATTTACAAATTGAGAAGGTTATCGATACATTAGCCAATAGGTATCTTTCTAAAAGGTCCCTGGCGTCGAGACTACGCATTCGGTTCAAAATGGAATGCGAATGTGTTTCGAGAACTCATTCAACAGAAAATGTTGTTTTCATCGAATGAGATTAGTTTTGTTTGTGCGGCAGCAAAGAAATGACCTTACAAACAAATGACATTCACTGTAAATATTATTAGATTGATTTGCCATGTGACAGGGGTATTGTTCCACGTTCTATTCTAGACTTACATTTTGCTTGCTTGTTTGGGGTACAATATACTAAAAAATTATCAACAATTGATATTACAAAAAGGAGTCCATAGATACCTTGAAAACTACAGGTATAGACTTTAAAATTTAAGACTCCATAATTTATTCAATAAACACACTATGCTGAAAGCTAACCATGTATAATGTTAATACTGTGTGGTTTGCGCTGTCTGGCCAAAGATGGGAGGCAGCCGCTGGTGTTAACTCGGGAAAATGTTTACAGTGCAGTCAGCTTTTAATGGTGTAGCACATGACTCAACCAAACGCTCGAGCGCCATCCATGTCTACATCCATCGCCACGCTGGGTGCATACCGCACATGTTCGCTTCCTCCCGGTTTGTCACAGAGTGTCCTTTCAGCTTGTCTGTGGCCGCTTCTGTAGGCCATATGATGACCACGCGCACACACACTGCGCAGCACATGTTGATATTGTCTAGTGGTGGTATTTCACTGTATAAAAACCAGCCAACTGTATGCACAAAAATAGCCTAAATCAAAATGTCACTGTTTGCTACACAATGAAGCAATTCCCAAATCCAGATTGCTTTGTGGTAGACAGAGTTTAAACTACCAGGCTCCTCAAATATTTGTCTAAGCTTATCTGATTTTGGTACTTTATTGAAGTAATTTGGGAAAATGCGTATTATAATAAGTGAAATGCAGTATGCATAATGTATATCATACTTGCTCTCGTAATGAACGCACTCTCATAATATATGCATCCCCAACTTCAGTCGTCAAAATTTGGATTTTCCTCTGACGTAATTAACGCACTTTTTCTACATTCATTCACTGCAGTCTCATAAACCGACAGACGACGCTTCCTTGCACGTTGATCTTTCTTGTTCTTTATGATATGACAACCTCCCACAATCAATGTGCTACCTTTCTCTTCTTCTGCTGCCACCCGCAGTTCATTTTTCTTTCTGCCTACACTCGGCACATCTCGTCTTTTTTAATTATCCACGTGCCACAGCAGGGTTTGCGGACAATGAAAGGGGAGAGTCCTCGCGGCTCACAAGCACACATTGAGCAAAGGTCGAGAAACTACCTGCGCCACACCTGCGTCAACCAATGTTCACTTCTTGCAAATACGACACTCAAAGGCTCAAGCATATGCTTGCAGCTTTAAAGCAATGGCGACAAAGTTTGCTGTTGCGAAGGGCCGTCTGTCGCGTCGCAGGTTTCTTGAAAACCAGCAAATATCTCTTGTCGCCCAGAAAAGAAGGTGACAATTTGTGTAACATGGTGGCATCGCCGATCCTCGCTTTCGTTGCAATTCACTCTTCGTGCTTGTTATCCGTGTGTACTTCAAGGAACGCAAGATATAGGCTACCTTTTTTGCAGTAACATGTCAGCAGAGAGTCAAGCAGTGGCTGTATTTTACCGTTAATCTTGTTATTGGCGGTTTCTTTTGATGCTGCGGTGGTAGCTTGCTGCAATATCAGCGTCGTCATAGGGCAAGTTTGCCGCAGAGTTTGCGAAGTGCATCGTAGTGTCCAAATTACGCAAATTGCGTCCTAGCATCAACGCAGCGCTGGAGCCCCTCGAGACCACAGCAGATATCGCTGTTGCAGATAAACAAAAGATTGTTAAAAAAAGGAAGCCATGAAACGGTTTCATGGAGTGCGCGGTGACAGCTTGCAGGAGATGGTGCCATCAACCACCGTAGATGAGGAAAGTGTAACAAAGAAGCTGTTTCCAAACAGTGTATGCGTATGTCAATTGCAAAAGGTTAGACTACCCCTCTCCTTTTCTTTACCGCATTGTTTGCTCATCCCGAAAAAAATTTTCATAAAATCTTCCTCGCATAATAATTGTTAAAAAAAAGAAAGCCATGAAACAGTTTCATGGAGTGCCCGGGTACAGCTTGCAGAAGATGATGCCATCAACCACCGTAGATGAGGAAAGTGTAATAAAGAAGCTGTTTCCAAACAGTGTATGCGTATATCAATTGCAAAAGGTTAGACTACCCCTCCCCTTTTTTTTACCGCACTGTTTGCTCATTCCGAAAAAAATTTTCATAAAATCTTCCTCGCATAATAAACGTGCTCCCCGATTTTGGTATGATTTTCCAGGAAAAAAGTGCATTCATTACGAGAATATATCCGGTATATATTGTATTATTCATGTTGTGACATGCTGTTATGGTTTTTTTTTTGTAATTGATTGGTGCAATTGATTTATCTTTCCTGTGTTTTTATATCCAAAATGCAAAATTGTGTCTACAGATTCTTAGTAAATCTGTTCAACTGTTGTATAATGCGCATATTTCTTTTGTATTTTGCACTTCTGATTCGGATTGATTTAGGTTACGTTTTTTCCCGTGCTGCTCATGTGGTATTATTTGATATGAAGTCTATAATACATTATGTACTAATTTTTATCGGTATTGCTGAATGCCAACAGGAGTACATTCTCTTTGTCCGACCGTTGTAGCCTTTTGCTTCTGCTCCTTGTTTCTGTGATGAAAGCAAATAATCTTCAACCTTCAAGTAGAGCGAATGTAAATTTAACTGGAGAATTGCTTCCTAAAGTCCTCTCTGATTTCGGCAGTCCTGGCCAAAGTGTGCTTTCTATATATAAATATTTCACTGACTGTTGGTGCTTTCCTGCTGTGTTTGTGTTTCAGAACGTGTACTGCACAAGTATTGGGGTGGAATACATGTTCATCAATGACCTTGACCAGTGCAACTGGATCAGGGAGAAGTTTGAGTCGCCTGGTGTCATGCGACTTACCAAAGAGCGCAAGCGCCTGCTGCTGTCACGTGTTGTTCGATCCACCAAGTGAGTTGCCAACTCCCTGTCGTGTAAAAAAGAAGTAATAATAATTGCAGTCAAACCTTGATGTAGCAAAGTTCTTCCAATTACTCACGTCAACAATGTAATAATATTGAAATGCAGCCTTTTATGCCAAATTGTAGTTACTGCCAAATTCTTTTTTTTTTTACATGAAAGGTACAGTCGATCCCAGATATGTCAAACTCGGATATATTGAATTATTAGCTATATTGCCACCAGCACGTTGAGAAATCCCCTTGAATTTTTCATGCAAAAGTATAGTACCGGTGCACCCTTATATTGAACTCCCGCATAGCGGGACGTCCGCTATATCGAACGCTGCGCTGCACTGAAGCCCAAAAAGTGCACTTTCTCTAGCAAATATTGGTCGATTTTCAGCCGCATTCTGACAAGTTCTGATCCCTTTTCATGCACAGGTGACGAAAAGGCGACGTTATGCCATTGCGCTGATCGGGTTCATTGCACGACGCTTACGAGTGCACCAGTGTGTTTGATCCGCGATCTGCAGGTCTTAACCCGCGGGCATAGTGTTTTTCAAAAAGACTCTATTGCCAAGGAAACCAAAATGAGAATGTGAAGGGACTCGGCGATGTCGCTGCAATGTTCGCAGTCGCTTCCTTGTTTGCTAGCGCATAATGGCATGCAAGCCTGAAAAGTATGGCCGTCTAGATTTTCGTCACGTATTTTTAGTGTTTTCGGTTTTAAAATGCACGTCACAGAGGCTGCGCTTTTTCTAGCTTTTCGCATCAAAGCAGCGGCTGCCAGCTGCAAAGCATTTAGTGACATCAATATCGCCAACATGTCGGCTGTGAGCACTCTGCGTTGTCTCGTGTTTTTTTTTGTGCCTTGTGGACTTGTGTATTTCTCGCCTCGTTCCTGATAAAACCTCATTCGGGTGTTGAACAGAACGTTGACCTTCACGTAGCGATGAAAATTATGACTGAATCAACGTCAAGTAAAGCACTGTCGTAAACTTTCCTTGCGTGCCAGGCAGGCCAAGTGACAACTTCGGGTGCGCCATGACTCATGACCACTGACAGCGATATATGCTGCCTCCGTGAATTCCGCGACTTATCACCATTTGCGAGCATCATCTCGGTCAGTGAGCGACTTTATCAGCGCAGATCACGACGTAGCTGTGTCTGACTGCATCGATGCTGAAATTATGACTGCCATTGCCGGTGCGGCAGAAGTGTACCCGTGCGGTTATGAATATTCCAAGGTCTTCACCGCTAACCAACCTTTTGCTGTGCTACGAAGCTTGCATTGGCGTTCTGCGTTAATCAATGCTGTTGTGGCCAAAGGAGCTGAATTTGCTTATTTGAAAAGCTTCAATGATATTGAGGAGGACTGCAACTTGTCGGCACGCAAAAACAAGTTTACGCACTGTCTTCATTTGTAATGAAGTGCGGCAACTTGCAGTACACTTGTTTTTCTTCATTATACTGTGAGTGAATTGTTATGTTAGCTCTTGTAATACACATATTTCGTATTTCGAATTATTGATACTATAATCAAATCTAATTATTTTGAACATGCCTAATTATAATTTTCGGTTAATTTGAACTCGCGATGAGGTCCAGCCAAAGCTATGTGTATTTCAATGGGCGAAAACGCCCGGTAATTCAAACGCCCGACCACTTCCGACGATTAATTCGAGCATGCCGCACTCCGAAAATGCTCTCAGCACACCCCGCCCGATCCCGCTGCGGCGCCTGCGCACCTCAACGCTGCTCACGAAGGAAACGAAAAGAAAAGAAAAGGCTGCGGTGGAATGTTTGCTCTCTTTCAAACGCCGATCTGCGACACGCCCGTGTCACGCTTCTCCCTTTTTCGTCACTGCCACGTAAAGACTCCAATGCCTCCTTCCAATGCTGCGCGCAAAGAGAGAGAGAGGAAAAAAAAAAAAGAAAGCCGTCGCTGGGTTGAATGATTGTGTGGTTGAAGGAAAGGAAAACGCACTATCTTCTGCAGCCCTTGCCCTTTGCGGGAGCACGGCTCTGCGTCTTGAGGGGGGGGAGGGGTATCTTTCACGTGCCGGTGCCACGCTTTTTTCATACTCTTCCCTGCCTTGTAATCCTTCTCCTTTCAACGACATGTGCGAAGAGAGCAAAAAAAAAAAAAAAAAAGGCTGCCGTGGAGTGTTGGTTTTCTCTGAAATTCTCTCTGCGTGGAGACGCTCCTCATTTCTTGTCATGTGCTGGCCATGCTGCGGCTGCGTAGCGGAGAGCAAGAGGCTCTGCTATGCAGCAGTCGTTGTTTTCGTCGTCTTTAGAAAGTGTAGGCGCTGGACATTTTCGCGCGCAACTTCTTTTGCCAGGAGGATGCTGAAGCCGAAGTAGAAATGCTTTGCTAGCTGCGTGCGAAATTGATTTACTCGCTACAAGGCAAACCTGTGCAGACGTGCATCACCGATTACTTCAAATAATAACGGATGGTCTGTGATTTGTGAATAAATGTAAGTCGTCTAAAACTTCCCCCTCGTGTGTTAGCTCAATGCACATGCGCCACTGCATGGAGAGCCCTCCGTTTATTTAGATTTCATTAATTCGAACAAATTTTTGGGCCCCTTTGAGTTCGAATTATCGAGATCCGACTGTACATCGAACTATTTCACGATCCCCTTCAAGTTCGGTATATCCCGGATCGACTGTATTACACAAAAGATGCAAGAAATGTTCAAACAATTGGGCAGCATGAAAAACTCGGCATAAATTTTAATTGAAAAGAGATTAACTTTATTGAATTCTAGAGGCAGTGTCTGCATTTCCATTCGAAGACCTGCAAGCAAGTTCTCATCACCGAGGCCGTACAGCACATGGAAAGCTGAAAAAATGCAGGCCTAACTCGCAGTGGTAATGAATGTTAGGGAAAGACTTGAACACACTCTTATGCAGCAGCTTGCCATCAAAACCTTGAGAGTTGCCCAGACTGGTATGACACAGCTTGCCCTCACTCCATCCAATGAACACGTCAGGAAGGAGTCGTTTCTCATGCCAGTTTATGTTGCAGTTTCAGTGCTCACAAAATCCCAGCCTAAATTATGGCATCTGTGTTTGTGGAGACTGTGTTTCTATTTTCAGCATTGTGCATGCGCATTAGTCTATTCTCATTAAAAATTACCAGTGTGAAACGGGCTTTTCACTATATAACAGGCCATTTTTTAATTATAGTTAAAGCAGTGGTGCCATCAAAATATCGAGGCTAAAACAAGGCTCTTGTTGGTTTTTTCTGTATGCTAGGACACTCCACACGAGTGGTCAGAAAAAGCAAATGTTTAGAATATATTTTAGTTCACCTTCAAAGTGTGCCTAAATGCTCATTCTCCTGACTGAAGCGTAAGCGTGCGCAGGTTTCTCCTCCAGATGGAACAAAGGTTCATTGCAGCGCACCCCCTCCCTATCATGTCAATGTTTGGGTCTGACTTTGACCTTCTCCTTAAGTCACGGCGCCCCCTTCCTATTATGTCAATGTGTGGGTGGAGTTGTGTTAGCACAACCCCCTCGTAGGTGACTATGGGAGTGGCCGCCCCCGTCCCATGCGCATGCCTATTGTAGTGAGGTGGCTGACCTCCGGAGACCTCCATCACGTACGTACCGACAAAGCATCGCAGCTGCTACACGTTTGTTTTGCAGGTGCTTGTGCGACACGTGTGTGCGAGAAAGCTAGCGAAAGAAGACGATAATGCGCCCGGCGTGTATCACAGCCTTGCGAGGCCACATAACCAAGCTACACTGCAACGCCACAGCCCAATTCCACACCCAGAAACTGAAACCGAAAATTGTCCATTTAAAAAGGCGATAATAATTTATTCAACAATAATAAATTAATATTGGTGCACGTATCATGCTTCTTGGAGCTGTAAGAAACGCTTGCAGCGAAGAATGCGCGAGCCACAAAAATGGTGGCACCACCACTTTTCTGCAGTGTTGCCCAAAGCTACTCAGAGCCACATCCTCTGTGGAGAAAACTGAGTGCTATAGCGGTACCTATTCACATAAGAGAGAAATCCCCGGAGAAGAAGCGAAAATGGCACATCACGTGACGACGTCATGAGTTAGTGTGGCCATGCGACTTCCTCGCGGCTCCTCGGGGGAGGCGAGGATCGTTTCTCCAACCTGTCTAACAATCCCCGTGCTGTGGGGGATATAGCGGAATTTTAAGTGTCTGGCACATTGTTGCCCTCTCTTTTGCAGAGCGCAGCGGCAGCGGCCTTTTCAAATTAGGCTCCAGATTCGTGAGCACCATGGTGGTGAAAATTAACGTTGAAACATCTTTTTTTTTTCTTTTCTCTCGTGAAAGAATATTCTTGCTTGTGGGAAATCTCCTCCGATGGCTATAATAAAACTAACCTAAAGAATGGTGTGTGGGAGACGATGATGGAGCCAAGCAGATGATGGAGTGGTACCCTATGAAGTAATAATTTTTTTTAAAGTGGTTATTTTGATAAGAGTCGTGACATAACCCGCTTTTCTTGTTGTTGTTGCTGCTGCTGCTGCTGCTGCTCTGCTTGTTCAGCCTGATGGAGATGTCTTACTTTTTAAAGAAATTTTTTAATGATCCTCTTGAGTGAAAATTAGATGCTTAAAATATAGACGGTAGTAGATCGGGGGGCTGCTTTTTACTTTCAGAAACATGACATACTTCACATTTTACTTTATCGACTGCACCAGTGCAGCCAATCTGTTTTGACATTATAATGGAAAGCTTGTACAAAATTATAATGAAAAGCTTGTACAGATAATTGTTAAGTATTATAGTATTAGGCTAGATCACTTCCGTTCTCGGTTGTTTTCATGAGAGAAATGCTATGATAGCATAAATCCTTCGTTCACAGAAAGCCAACCTACATCGAAAGATACGTTATTGAAATTCTACTGACTAAGTGGTGGTATTTGACGAGTCGGAGAGGCTGTGAGCAATTTCGTAGCCGAAAAAAAAAGCCGTTATTGACGCTGCCAGGATAGTCACTTTGGGCGAGTTCGTCTTTGCAAAAAAGGAAACCTTGTGGTGGCGAGTCAAACCAAGGGCAATGGCGTATTTACCTTTCATGAAAAAAACATAAGCAAGAAACCTCCTAAAAGCAGCAAAGCGGCAGAGGGTATTCAAAAGGGGCTCTTTCCTCACCCAAAATACACTTGTACTTTCTTTCTTCTCGAGTCAGAACACAACATTGCTTTAAACCCCCCACCCCTTCAAAACAAAAGCTTGCCGATATCTATGGCTTGATGTCAAAGAATTCTTCAGTGCTTCCACTTCATTCTATGGTGTACGCTCTGGCCACACTGATCTTGCCGACCATTCCCCTCGTCTATGTGAGTGAGGGACATTTGGGGGGACTTCTCGTCGCCTGTTGCTGTCACTAGCCTCCGCCTTTATCCCCCGTGGTTATTTCCTCGTGTGAGTACCGCTTAAAAGACGTGATCATAGCATCCATGTCGTTCTTCAGGCATGTGTCAATTTTTTAGAAAGGGAACACGGGAACACGTGGCCTGCGCGCTGCAGAGGCTGCTGGCAGCGCGTTGAAACGCAAGTGAGAGCAACCACAGCCTTTTTCCGTGTCATCTCGTGGTGAGCGAAGCAACCATTCATTGCTTATATGGAACCAGCTGCAAGGTAGCACCCCGTTCCCCCATATCAAAGTGGATAATGCAAAAGGCAGTGGTTGCTTTGAAGGGCGAGGAGGAACTGTTCCATCTTGCCACTGGTTTCATATCAACAATGATGAACGGTTGCTTTGCTAACCTCAACATGAAACCAAAAGAAGCTGTGGTTGCTCTTGCTTCCACTTGAACGCGCTGCCAGTAGCCACCGCAGCGCGCAGGCTCCGCGTTCCTGTGCTCCCTTTCATAAAAATTGACAGTGTACGTGGCCCATGTCCAGAGTCCAAACTAAACTGCTGAGCCGAGCACTGCATTCGCTACTGAATAAAGCTTGCTTGCTAATGCACAGCCATGGATGGCGACTAAGCAGTTCTGAAGACATGCGGCTTTGACCCCAGTTGCTATCAATGTGATCATACATAGAGCCTATGCACTTGGTATGCGTCGAGTAAAATTTAGGATGAAACAACTTTGATATAGCTGCTAAAGCCTTGGTTGCCAACAGACCCTTTGTGGTAAAATTGTGGGTTGCGCCTGCCTTCTTTCTGAAAGTTCACAGCTATCTTGGTTTTTCATGAAGGCTCTTTTTACTCCTTTGCAGCGCTTCATGTTTGGCGCACTCTGAGAATTGTCTGAATTAACCGGGTTGCAGCCAAATATGACTGAACTAACGAGAGTTTCATGCCACTAAATAATATGACATGCACTTGCTATGACCAGAGAACATGTCTAAGTTATCCGATTTTTTCTAATTAGCAGGGTTCAAATTAATGAGCTTTTACTATATAAATCAAAATGCATCTGCATGTAATGTAAAACAATCTTTTAAAAATGTGGCATGTTGCTCTCTTGATGATCAAAAGAAAGAAAAAAAAAAGGCTAGTACGATGCATCCTCATGGAAAGTGAAATTAATTCTGCTGCCAGCTTCCTTCCTTGTGTGATACAGTTTTGCTTGATTTAAGGCCCCTTCTGGATACACATTGTGTGCCATTGCAAGGACTGGTACCTTGCATTTTTTTATCTGCATAGAGTGACTTGAGAATGCCTGCAAGCTTGTCATCAAGATTCCAATATTCTGTCTCAGTCCATAGAAACCTTTCCTCGTTGACATTTAAGATTTCCTTCGCTTCTGAGCACTGCTCAGTGGCTCAGGTTTCGGGCATGTGGGGTAGATATGATGTAGCTGTCTCGAGTGTGCAAAATAATGGGGTGCGTCACCATTTCCACTTAGCTGTGAAAAAATTTGTACGCAAGCAGATGGTAGTAGAGCTTGAAATGAGTGTGTGTGGACTAGCTTTAAAATGTGTCTCGTTGCAATTTCGTGAGGACGATGTCACTATATATGCCTCTGGCTGTTGCTAATGCCGCAAACATGGTTTCAGTTTCCTATTCTGTCATTTGCAAAACATGATTTCCGTATAATGTCTTGGGGCACCGCAAAGGCATCCTGTCATATAGAAGTAATTTGTTTCACCCAAAAAATGGTCGAATAGGTGAAAAGTCAACTCTGTCAGGCTCGAGTTAACACTGCACTCTAAATAACTCTTGTCAGTGACCTACGTGACAGCTGGCAGCACAGTTTTGTTTTTACACAGTGCGCTGGTGCCAGACCTACAGTTTACTTCACGAAAAAAATTTTGTTCTTGGCCATTTTTCATGCTGTATATTTTAATTTAAAAGTGTTGGTTCACTACATTTGTGAAAGTGCACACTCATTTGGTGTCTGCAAAAGCCATATGCAGACAACACATTACCTCTCCCACCAAAGCTGTAGTCGGTGCAAACAACTGCTACAGAAACCACTCACAGTCATGAAGTAGGAGAGTGAAATCTTGCAGCAGGTAAGTAACTCCAGACTTGAAGGAAGTGCGGCTTTGTCCATCACGTCTGTTGGGCTCCTATAGAAAGTGAAGGTGGCAATGAGGCAATAGCATCTTTTCTTTTGACGTGTCAAGTGTTGTCGACACCGCTTTGATTGTGCCAGATCATTTAAATAAACATAATTCGACCTCTAAACTGCCTCTTTCTTTATAACAAATGAACACCATGTAGCAAAATTTCTTTAGCGCTTCACTGACCTAGCCATAAAAATGCTTTTTTTTATCTCTTAAGATTGTGCCTAGAGATCTTCTGGGACATTTTTTTTTGTAGTTTTGTTTTGAAGTATTCGATAAGTTACTGGAGAATCATTCAAACAATATTTAAAGTCTGTTCGCACCCAAGAGATCGCTATTCACACAGCTCTAGTAACAACCATTTGACCAGGTAACCACAGGACATAGAAATAGTATCATCTTTTATTGTTTATGCTTTGATTTGACATTTTCTTAAAAATTAAAGCAAACAATTAAGAAAGGATAGGGTAGATGATGTCACTGTTTACAATTGCAAGCCTTTTGTGAGAATAGAATGCTTAATACATTGCAAGAGGTGCTCATTGGTTGCAAACATTTCCTCGCTGAACCTGAGCAGGGATTCAGTGCCACTTACTGAAAGTACCAAAACAGCTGCTGCATTTTCTGCGGGGTCTTTGTCGCAGATTCGAGGAGTTCCTGGCCAAAAAGTGGGTTTCAGAGAAGCGGTTCGGATTGGAAGGTTGCGAGGTGCTCATCCCGGCGATGAAAACCATCATTGACCGGTCGAGTGAGCTTGGCATCGAAAGTATAGTAATGGGTATGCCTCACAGGTGAGTACTTTCCTTTTGCAACAAGGAAAAAAAAAGGATGATGACCTTTATTCTCATTCTGGCGGTCTCATGCCACCAATTTCCGACGGCGTGGGTGCCCTCCCAAGCGACTATACCTTCGTTCTGCTGAGCACCAGATCAGAAGTGTGCTTGTGCCTATTTATTCAGTAGGTACTTAGTGGCAGCAGTGCTCTGCCTCCAACAGCAGCAGCGGATGCTGAACTATTTCACCAAGGCTGGGGTTTTAAAGGTATGCCCAGGGGCCTTCCCAGATCCTTATGGTGCTACCTTTCGAGATGAGTACCCAGGAATAACCGAGCACCAGATCGTTGTATTTTTCTACGCATTAGGAAAAACCGGTGGGTTCTCGGTCGGCACCGGAAATCAAATCCAGCACCTCCCACATTGGAAGCAGATGCTCTAACCATGTAGCCACCACAGCGGTGGCTACTGGGTTAAGCACAAAATTATCAGGGTGTAGGTGTATGTACTTGACGTTGAAGTGTGGGTTCGCAGCAGTGGGATATTTCCCTTGAGTAGGTGGTTTCATGGCACAGCGAGCATGCCCATGCTGCAGTCAAACAATCTTTTTAGGTGTGTTACACATCGTAAAATAGTCCATTTGTTCGTTTCAGTGCTTCGAAATTTTAATGTTTGAATTAATTTTGATAGAGTAATTTTTAAAATATAGTGAAATCTTGTTATCAAACTTAGTTATTTCGAAATTCCGCCTAATTTGACGGATTTCCGCGGTGCCGTATTTTGCAATGTAAGTGAGTGAATAATTTGAAGCGGCGGCCGGCATCAGTCCGATTGATTCGAAAACTTTGGGGGCCATGTGCCAGTTCCAAATCCTGATTTTGCCGCAAATCTGCGGAAACGACGGTCCTTAAGAGCCACAAGGCAATGCAATGTAGCGATACTAATGAGTGGCAGCTGAAGCACCCCAGCCTTGCTCCTCCAATGCAAAAAGAAAAAAAAAAAAAAAACGGTCTCGTGGTCATTCAAAACTTGTGCCTGCGGTAAACTACACGTGCTTCACTGCAACACAGCGGTGATGCGTGGGCAGCATATTGCATTTTTTAGCAACATCAGCAAGTCATGGTTTACCCATTTTTTTTGTGATTGTAAAGAAATTAATAAAGCCTAATTTAACGAAATTTGCGATGTAAGCGAACCTCTAATTGCCACTTACTCCAGCAATTAGTGCCTTCGCACTGCTGGCAGAGTTCTTTCTAGCGACGCCCTCTTCGAAAAGTAAGTTCGAAAGTTTCAAAGACCATTTTTTCCAGCCAAAACACATCACAATGAGGAGCAGGCAACATGCTGCCCGCGTGTCATTACTGTGCTGCAGTGAAGATCTCTTGTTTTCCGCAGGCAAACATTTCAGTTTATCACGACAGCGTTTTTCTGTTTTTTTTTTCCAGTGGCAGTAGCGAGGCTCACCGTTCCTCCGTGTTTGGAGCAAATTTAAGACCAGGTCTTGCTGTAAAACATAACCTTTGAAGCCGCAAGCTAGCCGGCACAGGAAACGACGAGTATTGATTACTTTGAATAGTTCTAAGCCCCTTGCATCCCACCTTTTTAATGTTCTGTTATTTCAAAACCACGCTGAATTCGAAGATTTCTTGCGGCCCCAGTGACTTCGAGTTAACAAGGTTTCACTGTACTGTACAATCTTTTGAAATATTTGCAGCACACGAGTACCGTATTGACTCAAATCTAGGCGGACTCCGATTCTAAGCCGACCCCCAAAAGTCCAGAGGCCGAAAAAAAAAAAAAAAGAAAACCTTACCTCGAATGTATGATGATGATATGTAGGGTTTAACGTCCCTAAACCACCATATGATTATGAGAGACGCCATAGTGAAGGGATTTGGAAATTTCGGCCACCTGGGGTTGTCTTACTTGTGCCCAAATCTGAGCACAAGAGCTTACAGCATTCTCACCTTCATCAAAAGGGCAGCCACCGCAGCCGGCGCTCAATCCAGCGACCTGCGGGTCAGCAGCCTCGTACCTTAGCCCCTAGACTTACCTCGAATGTAGGCCAAACGAAACAGCAAAGACAGTGTTCACGGAGAAGAAACATTTATTGAACGTGAAGATGAAAAAAAGCAGTTGGTTCATGATGTAAATAACTCAAGAAACATACAGTTGCTCATCCTGTCGTGTGTGTTTCTTTGTTGGTGTTTTTTTTTTTTTTTTCGTGCTGCTTCTTGGTGTCTCTCATAATCATGTGGTGGTTTTGGGACGTTAAACCCCACATATCAATCAATCAATCAGTGCTGCTTCTAGTTGTTTGCATCGTAAAAATGCCACGCTTGCGAGTAGTCGTTGCAGACATCTTTGTCGCTGTCTTCAAGCAGTGTGGGTCGATGCCATCAAGCACATTCGATATGCTGCACTTCTTGAAAGAGGGCACAATGTTCCTCGGATGTGAGCCCCTCTAGCAATGCACATTTTTTTAGATGCGAAGTGTCTTATGGTCCAGCTCAATCTGGTGTGTGGCGTGACCACCCTTGCAGTGCATGCGCACCCCTTCCCCTCTCTCTCCTCTAGGCATCCTTTCTTGCGCCGTTTACAGTCGCCGATCGTTTATTCGGACTCGACAGGAACCGCCAAAACATCCGAATAATCGGGAGTCCGAAAAAACGGATTCACTCGAAAGAAAAGCACTTTTATAGGCCCTATCGCCCGAAAAAACTGTCATGTCTGCACACACGCATGCTTCCGAGACGGTTTGCTTGGAAATAGAAAATTCAGACTTCAGACTGAGGTAGGCCGCCTTCTACCTGGCGAATTATATCCGCTTTCTTCGTCATCGTGAGCGTCTTGTAGCTCCCACGTTGGCAGCGTTTCTTCACTCCCGACGGCGCAGCAATGGGTGGCGTTGTAGCCATTTCAGCACGCCACGGAACACGCAAGAGAGCGAGAACACAGACAACAAGACGAATCAGGCCTAGCCGCAAAAGCAGCTGACTGACACTGCTGACAAACGCCACAGCGAATAGATTCTGTAGGTGACTTGGCTTGGCCGCTCGGCTGGCTAAAAAAAAAGCGTCGCCAAACATAGCCTTCGAGATCGGCAATGGCGATTTCTGCGCGCATTTTGACACTGGCCAGACATCCATCCATAGCTAGTGCAGCATACCAGTGCTGGCAACCTAGCAAACGTATTGTTAACGTCGCTCTCAGCGTGTAATGGCGTACGGCGACGCATCCGGTCAGTCAAACGGAGTCCGAATAACCGAACGGCGCACAGTGGGGCGTCCGAATTTTCGGTCATGAGTTTACATTAGGATCAATGGGGAGTGTGGCGGTGCCATGAAGATGTCCGAATAAACGGGCATGTCCGAATTTTTGGCGTCCGAATAAACGGTCGGCGACTGTACGCTCTTATTGTGCATGCGTGCCCCCTACCCCTGTCTCTCGCCTCGCTATGCCGGCGCAGGCATCATCTGCTAGGGTGTTTGTTGATTGAAAAAACCGACTGCTCCCACTGCACAACTGTTCACTGGCCACCCCGTATATATAGGCACCGGATTTTGACCTCTAAAGTAGTACTGGTGAGAGATTTCTCCTGTTCGTTGTTGACCAATGAAAATTTGCAGCGTGCACGTTAACAAAAAGCGAACTGCGGGTCTCTGTCTAATTAATGTTTTGTTTTTTTTCTCATTGCCCATGAGCTGCGATTTGAATGTTCCAGTAGGAAACGCCAGTCCATCACTGCATGCTTTGCGCCTCCCCAGGTTTCGCTTCTGTGCAATGCCGCAATGAGCATCAACGCTGCCACCAGTATAAGCGTTAGCACCCGCTGCTTCGCATCTACACATGGTTCCCCTTAGTGGGAGATGGGGCAATTTTATTCCTCCACTCTGAAGTCCCACCTAGCTGAGCGTTGGACGATGACTCTGCAGCTAGGACAACTTTCCTTTTAGAAGCGGCACTATGATGACACCACCTGTTTGGCACCATTGAGCTACACCACACAGACCACTGGAAGAGTGACTCGAAATGACAAACGGCTCGGCTCGCCTGAACACTCGCCACAAAGATCAAAATAGCGGCCTCAGACATGTACCTAAGACAGGTGTTGTCTTTGCTATAACGGGTATAATTCAGTTTAGGTGGAGATAGTTGTGCACCACTTCTATTAATGAAAAATGGGGAATTTTTCAAAACCCTAGAATCTAAGCCGACCATAGAGTTTGATACAAAAAAAATTTGAAAAAACACCATCGGCCTAGATTTGAATAAATACGGTATGTGCACAGGCTTCAAGAGCAAATGCAAAGGTGTGAGCAGGCACATTAGCTTAGGTCCTTGCGATGCCCTCTACATCATGCTTGTCTTATGCAGGGGTCGTCTTAATGTCCTAGCCAATGTTTGCCGCAAGCCTCTTGAACAGATCTTCACCCAATTCAGTGGACTGGAGCCCGCTGACGAGGTGAGACATTTATATTGTAGCTCAGAGTGAGGATGTGGTATTGGGAAAATGAAAAATCTTTAAAGTTGGCTTCAGACTATACACACCTTTTTCATTCATTTATATTTATCTCGGATCTGCTTAATTTGTACCCTGTATAGTAAACGTTTGGCCTTAGATGCTTGAAGCAGCCCAAGTTTCCATTCTCATTTACTATCATAAAGTGCATGCTTATTGTTCGGTATTCCTGTTAATCATGTTTTTATTCTTGCTTAAGACATGGCTTATGCATTAGTCATTTTTACTTCTGGCTCTTTGTACTTTTAAAACGAACTTGTGGCAGTGCATGTACTCGGCTTTCAAATTGCAATCGTGACTGGTTGAACTGGGAGACATAAGGAGGGCGTTTTGGGGGAGGGGCCGATTATAAGTAGTAATAGCAGCAGCGCAGTTCATAAAACCAGTGACTGTGTAATATATTGCTTTTTGTTTGCTTTGTAATGCTGTGCACTGCGTGAGTTGCAGTAAACGCGTGTAAGTAGTATAGGTTTATGGCAGACATAATGCCTATTGCACTCTCTTCTTAATTTTTATGGTAAACTGCTGCAGCTACCGTATTTTTGCGCGTATAACCTGCCCCTGCATATAATCCGCACCCCCACTTTCAGCTCACTGAGGGAAAAAAAAAAAAAATCCTCGCGTATGGCCCGCACATTTGATATACAGGAAAAGCTGTACAAAAGCTACTGCTCAAGCAACATAGTACATATGTAGACAGAAAAAGCTCTATTTAGCAAGCAGAATATGCTGTCTGCAAGGCCAATCACAATTCACTCACTGTCGCTGCTCTCGTTAGAGCTATCACTTGAGCCGCAGTCCTCACTGTTATGCACAAGGTCATCTTCGGTTCCATCCATGTTGTTTGTGATACAGCATTTCTTGAAACTTTTTCGCACCATCTCACCTGGAATGGCCTTCCATGCCTCGACAATCCACTTGCAGAATAGGGCAATGTCAGGCCTTCGGACTCGTCCTGTTGGCGTCACATCGTAGAGACCTTCGGCCATCTACTCGGTGTAATAGCGCTTGACATGCGCTTTGAAGGGCTTGTTAAGCGACACATCTAGAGGCTGCAACATTGACGTCGTTTCACTGGGTATAACAACTAAGTCGGTACTGGTGCGGGAAAGGTGGTCCTTCACTTCTTCAATTGTGTGGCCGCGGAACGAGTCAAGAATGAGCATGGACCTTTTTGCGAGCATCGCACTCGGCCTCTTCTCCTATGCCGTCTTGATCCAGTCCACGAACAAGTCACTGTTCATCCACGCGTTCTCGTGTGCGCGCATCACCACACCGGCAGGCAAATGAAATAGTAGAGTTTTCCTTTTCAAGATGACGTACGGTCGCAGTTGCGTGCCATCGGCGAGGGCACAAAGCAAGACTGTGATGCGCAGTTTCGTGTTCCCGTCGGTCAGCACGCTCACCGAACTGCTGCCCGTCTTCTCAATCGTTGTGTCCGACGGCATTTCAAAATAAACAGGGATTTCATCCGCATTGCTGATTTGCGAGAAAATGTAATTGTGCTACTTTCACAGGCCAATTACATATATCTGGTACTTGGGCAGCTTCTCCTCATAAGAAGCCGGCAAGCCTTGACATATTGTAGTCCGCCGTCTGATTGAAAGCCCTTGCCGCTTCATAAAGCGGGGCAGCCATGCGCGGCTCGTACGGAACTCGTGAGGTAAGCCTAGCTCCCCCGAAAGTCGCCGTGCTTCCACTTGTGCCATCTCGGTCGATACGGCGTTGCCCCTGCTTCTCACATCTTCGATGAACTTTACTAGCTCCGCCTCCAGCTCAAGGTAGGCACCGGTCTTGGGGCCACGAAATGACCTACGGTCGCGGTGCGCGGCTTGTAGGCTCTCTTTTTTCTTTCTCCACAGTCGCATGCAGGACTCGTCCACATCGTGCCGTTTTCCCGCTTCGCAATTTCTGAATTCCTCGGCGACGACGATGATCTTAAGCTTTTGCTGTGCCGTGAAGGACTGCCGTCGTACGCTACCCATGGTGACAGAACAGATCGGCTTAGGCTTCCACGACTTAGCACTACCCCTTCTAGTACACTGTAACAGCACCCTGGAAACAACAGAACCGAAATGCATGCCTGCTACCGCGTCAAAAAGTAGTACATAAATTTACTAATAATATCTCTATCTCTCTCTCGAACGTCCAAAAAATATACTTGTGTTGTGACAGTGAGATTTTACACTGAACAATTGAATTTTCTCTCCCTAAATGTTATTTCTAAACGCTTTAACGATGCAAGCAAGCGAAATAAAAATCGGCCGCCAGCTGCCTAGCTACTTGCGGAGCAACACGAATTTGCGGAAACCGCCTCCGCAGCCTTCCCTACACTGTTAAGGGGCTTCACAGCACAACACACATTGCTGTGAAGCAGCACTATGGAAAAAAACCCCGCGTATTATTCGCACCTCCACTTTGCCACTGAAATTTTTGGGTTTTTGGTGTGGGTTATACACGCGAAAATACGGTATTTGACACGATGACCATGATGGAGTGAGTGGCAGTAGAACGAATAATTTTAGTAGATTGAACTTTTCGTTCTATTTCTTCCTTAAGTTTTTGTAACTTGTCCATGTTGTTCAGACCTCTCTCTATAGTTGCTTTAATTCAGGATTATTTATAAGGTGTGCATGAATAGTTTTTAAGCTCAAATCAATGTCTACTATTGATGAACAGTGTCAGCTGTGAAAAAGGCACCATGGATATAAAAGTTTAGTACGAACAGCCTAGCACTTGTGGAAAGTTGCTGTGAAAGTTGATAGTTGTTGCAATAAACGTGGTTGCACTGTTTCACTTCTTGTTTGCAGAAGCCAAACTGTGCGGTGCCACCATACTCCAGTTTGCTTTGCATATTCTATCCTGTTTTTTTTTTTCCATATTGCACACTAAAATCAAATTCAGGCATGCTGTTTCTGCATGCTTTATCTTGGAACGGTGTTATGGGCATCTTAAAATTGTTGACAAAGTTGTTCGAGCATTTGCAGGGGCAAGACTGTCTCCCCTCCCCCTTCCCCCCTCTTTTTTTTCTACCTCATAGCAGGGAAATAGGGTGAGTGTGTGCCATAGAGGGTGTTTCTTTTAAACTTCATGGATTTTTTATTGATATTTTATGACAGCCGAGCACCTGTCATCTTCGTATGCAAGCTCTACATTGAGACGGAAATATTTTGGTGCATTTAAAGTTACGTTGAAATGGTGAACAAAAATGCAAAATTTAGTTTTTTAATTACAGTCAAGTTGTGAGCAAGTGCACCCCTCCCCTTTTTGCTCAGGATTTCATAGTATTATGCTTTCAGTGCAGTTCTTTATGTGGAAAAGCTGTAGGACGTGACAACTTATGGCATTCCCATTTTTTTTTAGAAATCCCCAAAACACATGTTGTTTGAGATATTAATCATTGAGGTTGAAGGCCTTGAGGCAGGCAGTATCGAAACTGTGCACGTCTGGTGCGCGAGAAATGCGGCATGTCACACCAGAACTTTCCATGACGAGCTATGAATAAGATTCGTCCCCACGGAATTCGGTCAGGAAAGATGGCCAATTGTCTGGCAAGTGCACAAGTGGGCCACTCATTGTTTCATCGGATGTGTAGTGCTTACTTCTTTTTCTTAAGCTCTAAATAGTAGGCTTGTGTGAGTAGGGAATTTTAGGTTCGAAGCAAATAGTGACCTTGGTGGAATAATTTTGAATCAAATCACATATTTAAAAAAATGGGAATATTTATCATGACCTAACTAACGTGTACAATATTTTTTAATTGAAACTAGGGCTCTATGCAAATGTCATTTTTTTTTTCGTTCAGAAGAAGTCGGAACAACCTTGAATAGTAGCGGGACTTGAGTGTCGGTAGGATGCCGGTGATAACCTGTAAAATATGTAAGATTTTAAAATTTATTATAGCTAGAACATGTAAGCTGTCATAACAAGCTTTTAAGCGTAATAGAATGATGCATTTATTTGTAGGTAAGATGTTCATTTAAAGGGGCCCTGCAACACTATTTTCAAGTAGCCATGGAGCCACTAAAGAAGCTTATTGTCTCACAAATTCATCACCGAAAAATTTTGAGAATCGGTCCAGCATGAGCGGAGTTCTAAAGATTTGTTGCACACTGCAATTGCGTTCTTTCTTTTTGTCCCGACAAAAGAGCTGGAAGCTAAGTAGGGAAAGATGGCTTAGGGAAAGGAAAGTCATGCATGCCTCGTGACCTTAAACACCTTTTCTCTTTTTTTATTTTTTCTTCATATATGCAACCTTTCAGGCCTACCGTGCACGTATGTGTGGACGAGCGGCGGCCCCCGTAACGAACGAGCACGCCATGCTCAAGTCAGCTAATGGCTGTGAGAAGTGATTTTTGAGCTCATAGAGACATTTTTGAGACACTATGAGCTCAAAAATCACTTCTCACAGTCATTTGCCGAGGGAAGAGAGCAATTTTTAGCTGACTTTGAGAATAAAATTGTGAATTACAGGCCGCGTGCTGCTCTATAGTTTCGTCGCGTGTTCTCGGTAGCCTCTACTACCGATCGGCAGCGTTTTCTCACCATGCTGGATAAGTGTTGCAAGGTCCCTTAAAACTTGAAGGTAGACTTCGTGGCAGAGCGGATTTGCCTTGGATAGGTTCTTTCATGCTTTAGCACCCCTACACTGCAGTAAAAGCACCTTTACAGGCTGTTACATGCGGACTGATATATAGGTATCTGTTTGTTCATTACGAATACCTCGAAATTTTCAATAATTTAAATTTCAATCGAATCGAATTTGAATGCTCTACCATTCATTCGAATATTCGCACAAGCCTACTAAATAGGCTCAAAGTTTTTGCTTTTCTCCGAAATGAAGTGCTGCACTGGCTGTCCCCGAGCTTTACGCTGTACAGTCAAAGAAAAGGGAGGAATTGATATGTTTTCTAGTACAGCCTGAACCAAACGGATCAATATACTGCCAAATCAGTCAGTGGCATATTTAATGTTTTTCTGCTGTTGAGTACCATAATTAGAACTGCCATTTGCGTTTGACCGATTTTGACTGTCTCTTCAGTGTTTAATTCCTTGAAGTCTACTGTATCATTGGCAATTTATGGAACTAGCTTGTAGCCTGAATCAGCATTTAGAACTTATTAACTTTTTTATTTGTTGTGAATTTGTGCCAGTAAATTAAGCATTTAATAAAGCTGACAAGTTGACAATGGATATGTACATCTCTACATCTTAGATGGGTGTATTTGTGGCTTCCCCCCTATTTTTTTCTTTGTTTTTTTTTGAGCTACTGGCTGCTGGTTTAATGAGTTTGCACGAAGTGGGACATATGTTTGCATTTCTGCCTATTCGTATCTGTACAGGGCTCTGGTGATGTGAAGTACCACCTTGGAATGAGCCATGAACGTCTGAACCGAGTGTCCAACCGAAACATCAAACTTGCTGTCTGTGCCAACCCTTCGCATCTGGAAGGTATGTAGTGGTGCACTTTTGTTTGACCAGTGCAGCAAGTTTGGTAGGTCGGTAAAGTTGCGTGATGATCTATATACAGGGCTCGGAAAAGATGAGGAAAAAGAAAATGTGGATGTAACAGATGCCATTATATCTACATTTTTATGGTCCATGTCTTTTTTTTTTTTTTTGCACTGTTTGATAATTTCATAACACGGTTATCATTGACTCTTTTGACCTGGCCCAACCACTTCTCTTAAAGAAATCACTAGGTCGCCACAGCCATGCCTAGGGGCCATTAGGCAGTGACTGTACTTCGATTCTCAATGGCTGCATTGATGGAGACCACAGATTTCGCTAGTAGCAGTCGTAATGAGCAGTTATCTTGGTTTGGGGCAATGCAAGACGCATGATATCACAAACGTTACAGAAACTATTGACTATGATAAATGATTCTATCTTGACTGGCTTTTCTACATCGAACCTGTTGGGGCTTGTCTACATCGAACCTGTTGGCTGAGCTAGCTGAACTAGGGGAAGGGATATGACTGGGATGTAATTGGATTGGCACGATACAGGTCATCACAGGCACAGGGCACCATGTTTCCTTTTTGGCTTGTGCATGGACTTCTACCACAGTTATGCTGCACAAGCAATCACAGTTGTATGGCATAACGCTTTTTTCAGAGTTTCCCAACTAAATTGAAGGCTGCCATTGTAGTAAAAGGCACAGCACTTTCTTTCACATGTGCACTGCCAGAAGAATCTTCGGCGTCAAAAAAGCAGGGACTTGCATCTTAATCAGCCATGTAATTTCTGATTAACATACCCATGGTCTAAATCTCTCAAAATGTTTAAGTAGTTCGTCAGATAAAGCAGTTGTTTAAGAGGTGCAACAACTGTTGGGCAAGTAAGGCTGTAGTAACAATGACATCTGCCTTCCCACTTCTCTAGACAGCGGCTGCCTAGTAAGTGTCAGTGTTTCAATTTTCTTGTGCTGGATAAGACCTCTAGCGACCCCATTAGCAGCTTGACAGACTTGTAGAGTGCCATTGTCAGGTCAACTGCAGCAAGATTGACACTGATTTTCGCAAGTGTTCGTAGCAAATAATTGCATATAGGAGAGCTGTGTGGAAGAGCATCTCATGGTAACATTTTCAAGGATAAGCTGTATACAGTCAAACTCCGATATCTCGAACCCACATATATCGAATTTTCGAATATATCAAACTCGCGAGTTATCCCCTTAAAAGTTCTTTGTAAAAGTATAGAAATTCACACCTTTATATAGAATGGTATTTTTACACCTGTTCGGATATATCGAACACCGCGCAGCTAGAAGGTGCGCTACTGCACTCGCCGCACCCCGCGATCTTCGTGGTAGCGCGGCTCGGCATGCGAGTTGGACGTGCGCTTTGGCACTCGCAGCGCCCAGTGACCTCCGCGCGGCTTCACGCCTCTGTCCGAACCCGAAACGCTTTGAAGAAGGTAAGGGCGAGAGGGCTTGGACTGCACGGTCTCCAACTTGCGGAACGGCTTTTTTTTTTTTTGCTTTTTTTCGTTTCTCTCTCTCATACTTTCTTCGTGTGTCCATCGGCTCGGAGAGCAAAAACGAAGGAGCTGACGATATCCTTTCCCCTTTTCTTTTATTTTTTGTTCCTGTTTTTTAAGTTTTGATCAGCCAACCACAGCTCGCTCCTTTTGCTGTTGCCCTCGCCGGTAAGCATCGCCTTGCGAGTGCTTCGTTGGCGGAGTCGGCTTCCATTGTCGCATCGTCTGTGTACCACCGCATGTGCAGCATTGTTCTTTTGCGTGCGTGGTATGCAAAGCTGCTGCCGTCTCCTTTAGTTGTCGACTTCTCGTGTAGCTATGGCCAGTGTCAAGAAGCACAAATCCCTTGATTTTGCGACAAAGTTTAAGGCTAATCAGTGTGAAATGTTCGACAGTTGCGAACAACTTCGGCATATTACATAGCACTCTGAGTACATTGTTGAAGAACGGGGCACATATCAAGGCAAAGGTGGCGGAGCAGCAAATGTCGGAAGCCTGTCGTGTGACGGCGGAACTTGCGGAAACCGGTGAAGACGGCGATGACGAGCGCTTAGACAACGCGTTTGTCGAGTTGTCGTCCCTCTTCCCGACAGCTGTTCCACACGAAGTGTCTGCGGGCGATTTCGTGGAAGCGGACTGATATGTTCAGGTCGTTTCGAGCCTTGCTGACGAGGACATAGTAGCTGTGGTCGCAGGGATCTAGGATGCCCAGGCCGACAGCTTAAATGACGAGGTGGATTGTCTAGACAAGGCGACGGCTACATGCCCGTACTTTACCGCTGAAGTGGCGGTGGCAATTGGTGTCCATTCGTCGTAACCGCGACGTGGAGGGAACCGCTCTGCTGCAACTGGACTACCTTGATGAGATCGAGACTAGCGTCTTCAACTTCATTTCGAAAACGAAGTAGGTTAAGATAAGCTTTTTTTTTTTTTTTTCAGGCTAATGAAACATTCTGTTGCGGTTTGTGTGTGGAATTGTTTGTCATTCTTGAATCTGCCTATTGTAGGTGATTATCTGCTACAGGTAAGCTCTCCAGGCCTGTATTTTTTATATTGAATTTTTGATAAACAGTCGAACCCTGCTACAACGAAACCCACGGGGCACGGAAAATATTTCATTGAAGCGACAATTTCGTTGTAAAGAGATCGAAAAAATGTAGCTGATCTTAGCTAGCTAAACAAATAAATGTTTGTTCCTAAAATTGAAGAAGTGTTCGCTGCTTCCTATTCTTTCCCAGCAGCGTCACGACGCGATGAACAGTCATGGTGAAAGCCGCTAAAATGACGCCTACAACTGCATTTGTAAATGTACCAAAGAGTTGCATTAACACGTTAACACCAGCAGCCGTCCGCTGTCAAAGTGTATCTGAAAACGCCGAGATGGAGGCATGGTATCGTGGAGCTGTGACTATTGCCTTATTCTATGTCATTCTTATCTTCCAGATGTCGCGGCTGGCTGATTTGGTTGATAATGCGGACGAAGAACCGCTCTGATAAGGAACCACCCTGTCCAAGCGCGAATAAAATGATAAGTTTTGGAATCGGTAAAGGCATTGCTCTGCGGTTGCACGCAACAACTGCGTAAAGGAAACCATGAACTGAGCGACGGAGCTTCAGCTTCGGATCGTCTGCGGCTCGAAAACAAGCTAGTGGCAAAAGCAGAGCCATCCTCCATGAGCAGGGCAGTCTCATTGCCATCCCTATCAAGCAATGGCAGCGCCCATGCTTGCTGAACCGCGGCGGTTTCTGGTGGTGCCAATGCATGCTTTTAGACTTCGTCGACGTGTTTTCAGGTTCTCAAAATGCATTAAAGCATTCTAGACTGGGTTTCCTGTACAGCAATAAATATCTGAGCCTGGCATTGCATCGTGAAATTTTGTTGAAGCGGGACAGCAGAAGAAAAAGTGTTTGTTGAGGTGACAATATTTATGCATTGATTCCTATGGACTGCTGACGAGGAACCATGAATTTTTCGTTGTGGCGGAAATTTCGTTGAAGGGGCGTTTGTTGCAGCAGGGTTGGACTGTATTGAACTACTTCAGGATTTCCTTAGAGTTCGATATATTAGTGTTCGACTGTAGCTGAATTGCTTTTAGGGATACCCATAACTGGCAATGGCAGGTGCAAGGATGCCAATTTTTTAATGGGTCAGTGCACATGCATAATTACACAGCCATAAACTCTAAACAAAGTGGAAATGCTTCCAACAGGGTTGGCAACCTGCATAGAGTGAAACAAAAGATCCATTTCTACTGATGTTAGGGGCAGTAGCGTGATGGCATTTTTTTTTTTTTTGGTAAGTCGCAGAAGATTGGAGTATACACTTGAACCTCATTATAACAAAGTTGCATCTTACACAAAAATAAGTTCGTTATAATAACAAAGCATTTGTTATAAAATTATATTCTCAACACTGTATTTATTGCAAGACTTTTCTTATTTACTTCGTTAACTCATAATTTGTTATATTCGTGTTCGTTATATCGAGGTTAGAGTGTATCTCTGGAGTGACATTGTGCGTTGACCTCATGAAAATTTGCGCTTTTTAAAGCATTTCATTACTGAGCTGCGGTTTAAATGTCCCACATGCCAATGCTGCACCAGCACCTCTTGAATGCACTTCCCACGGATTCCTGACTGGTCGAATGAGCATTTGTTTTTTTGCCTACTGAGCAAACTCAACAACTAGGACTGACTGAACAATTTTGTACCGGTAGCTGGCAGCCGACTGAGCAATACATCATGCATGTGGCCACCTTAAGCGAGACAAACGAAATTTCTGACGTGTTCTTGCACTCTCAACTACTTTTGTTTCCGCTCCTCACACATTCACAGATTCCGCATTGTTTGTGCACCCAATTTATCGTGTCATCTGCTATGTGTGTACAGACGTGACCACTTGGCTTTTGTTGCCAGTGCCATACGTGTACAGAGATGGAAAGAAAATGCGAGTGGGCGGTTTAGGTTGGGCAACTTATTGCACTGGTGTGCAAAATATTGCGGCCATTCCTGTCTATTTTCCTGCTCCAGGTGTGGATCCAGTGGTCCAAGGCAAGACTCGAGCCGAGCAGTTCTACCGCGGTGACACTCAGGGCAAGAAGGTGGGTTTAGTCAGTGCACAAAGGGCCACTCTTGGTATCTATAATATCTCATAATTATGTGATTACAAATGCTTATACTTTATAGTTACCAAAGCACTTATTTGTTCAACTAATTACTGAAGTGAGCTTTGCTCAATTTGAATGTTCCTGTTGCCCCACTGTCAGTACATGGTTTTCTTCACTGCCCTTCGTAATTTTTCGTAATTTTATCAGTGCCTTACTTTTGGTTGCATTATAATTTTTTTCAATATTGAAAAAAAGTCAACATCAACATGTTACGGATTTGGTTTGCGCTAGAAAATGAAAATTTAGAAATTTTTAGTAGTAGGCAGATGCTGGGAAAGGCAGGCCAACATATTATATTGGCCACTAGGCAGGGAGATTGTAGCTGCATGTCTAGAAGTATGTGAAAGGGGCAGGGTTGAAAGGTGTCAACTTGTTTGGGGCAATAGGTAGTTTTATTTTGATTCAGGGCACGTTAGCTTTTGAAGAGCATGGTTAGACATCCGAGATGAGTGCGATTACGTTTCACCTTTATTAGTTTTAGTTTCATATTGACTGCAGCGCATGTGTATTGCTGGTGGAAACTAGCAAAAATGAAGTGCATTACTACTACAGTCCACACAGTCTTCAAACACGTTGTGTACATTATGTAGTAGACAGACAATGTTTTGCTGATCAGAATAGTGGTAAAAAAACAATTGGGATCAGTACGTAGTAGTGAAAAGCATATCTGTGATGAAGTTGAGAGGTGTTTTGCACCGTGTCTGCACTGGGGAGGAAGTTGCGAGGCCCATGTCTTCATGAGTGTTAATTATCACGACAGGATTAGAATCGCAGGTATCGTGCGACTTTTCTACAGAGTGAAGCCAGGGTTCGAGAATTTGTTCAGTAAATTTAAAAGTGTGGCAGTTTGGGCTAGTTGGTATGACATGATGGTAGTTATAGCATGAGAACAGAACGACGACAAAAAGACAAGGACTGTCTCTTTGTCGTCGTTCTGTTCTCGCGTTATAACTATCGTCATGTCATACCAACTAGCCCAAATTGCCACACTTCGTCTAAGTTACATTTCTAGTTATTCGGGCACTCTTTTTCTTGTGTTTGTTCAGTAAAGAAAGATATGCTGATGTAGTGAGCATTTTAGTATCGTTCACTTCTTATTCTTGACGTTTAAAACATACATGTAGTTTGGGCAACTTACCCTGGTCCCATGACATGAGGTTTGACCACTTGTTCTAGCTTAAAGGCCCCCTGCAACACTTTTTGAGCATGGTCAGAAAATGCTGCTGATCGGTTGTAGAGGCTCCCAATAACACGCGAGCCAAATATTATAGTACAGCACGTGGCCTGGAATTCACAATAAATAATCAAAGTCAGCTAAAAATGGCTTTCTCTTCTCTCAACAAATTACAAAGACTCTCAAGAACCACTCGTAAAAAGCCCATCAGCCATTGGCCGATTTGAACATGGCATGCTCAGTCGTTACAGAAATAGCCGCGGGAGACCGCGACTTGTCCAGGCTGCGCGCGCGATCACACTGGAAAAGCAGGGCATTTGAAGAAAAAGAAAAAAAGTGGTGAAAGTCACGAGGCGCACGTGACGATTTTTTTTTTCCCTGCCGTCCCTCCCTGCTTGGTTTCCAGCGCTTTGGTCAGGACGAGAAAATAGAGAATGCAATTGCAGAATGCCACAAATCTTTTTGACTTTGTGACTCCACTCGCACTGGACAGATTCTCAAAATTTTTGTGGCGTTGAACCCATGAGGCAATAAGCCTTTTCATTGAATTCATTCCATGGTACTTGAAAAGTGTTTCTTGGTCCCTTTAAATTTAATTTTGCTGGAGTGCTGCTATTACGAGACAAGTGTACTATTATGAAGTTCTATTTATTTCTCTTACAGAAGTACCAACTGTAATATTATATGACAGTTTTATGGTGCAGATTTTCACCCTTCCACTTTCACTATGTACTATGCAGAATGGGAAACTGTAGTTATAAATTGTACCGAAGTTTCTTCCTTAGTTGCATCAGATACATGTGGATACAAAGAATGGTGTTTCAATGGCTTACTGTATTAGAGTAACAGATTTAACATTGAAATTGTGTGAGAGCTTTGAGCTGTGATTGTCTGTGTTCTTTTCTCATGTGCCATATTTATTGTGTGCTCATTCGTTTTCTTCAGGTGATGAGCATCCTTTTGCATGGAGATGCAGCTTTTGCGGGCCAGGGAGTGGTCTATGAGACTTTTCACTTGAGTGATCTGCCTGACTACTCTACCCACGGCACCATCCACATTGTTGTCAACAACCAGGTGAGGCACCTTAGCTCATGCATTTGAGCAAATGTGTCTGAGAGGCACAATTACCTTGCTAGTGACAGTGCGGCTGCTTGATGATGGATGCGTAGCTAATCGACTTTACTCAAATGTGGCTAGTTCCTTCTGAAGGGGCCCTGCAACATTTTCCCGCTGCATTGTCTTAACCGCCACTCTGATCATCTAGTACAATGCACTAGAGTGCTTGCATGTCTTCATTTCACTGAAGATGAGGAAGAAAGCATTCACTGAAGGTTCACCTACCTTTTACATCTGTTTGGGGTTTGAACTTTGACAGCTAATAATTTCAGTTTTCATGCACCAATTTTTATTCATTTTCACATGCAGCCCAGTGTCCTATAATTTGTGCAGTCCAGTGCTTAAGTGGTAGTGCCCATTTTCCGAAGGACCTGTTAGTTTTCTAATAGGTAGAGGGGTGTCGTGACCTTGCGGTTTGTTGCATAAGGGCACTCATCGCAGTAGTTGTTTGATAAGAGACACTTATTTTTGAAACCCATGCGTGAGCAGAGCTTCATATCATTAGGGACAGGTAAGAGGAGTCAAAGAAGAGAATAGGAAAGAGAGGCCACTTCCTTCCCATACAAAGCCTACAACACCGTGGGCCAGACCCGGGTACCCCTCGCCCCGTTAGAAAAAGCAGGTCGGCGTTTGGCAGCATTTCGAATCAAACCCAATGCCTCCCGCAATAGAGGCAGTTGCTGTAGTCATTTGACTGCCACTGTGGTATTTATTTATCTCGGGAAGGTCCGCCTTTCACTCTTTTATAGTTTACAATTAAAGGGGCACTAAAGTGAGAGAATGGCTTAGTTTATAAAAATGACTTAGTTTATAAATTTTCCTCTTCGAATTCCAATTGAGCTAATTATCACACGAGGAAAAAAACTGAGGTCAAGGTTTCATTTTTAAATTTCCCACCGAAACCTTCGTATGTGGCATCACGAATTGCAAAGCGTATTTTTTTGTATTTTGGCAACATTAGCTGAAGGAAACATTGTGAAACAATCCATGTTACGTTTGTGGCCCCATGTACTTCAATTTTACCGCTTAGGAACTACTTATGGCCAAGTAGGCTCTGTCAGAATCTTTGACGTCACAGCATTTGGTGTAGGAATTTCAAGGTGGCATTGGTAGCTGCTGTTTCGTTTCTCGCATTTTCTCTGTCACAAAGCGTCTTCCAACATTAAGAGGGGTGTTTTTGGTGTGTGAAATATTGTGGGGTCTCGGCGAGGCGAACGAGCGCCTCGCCACGCCACGCTCTTGGAGTGAACGGACACAGTTGACGCGGTCGGTACAAAGCACACAACATACATACATTTATTAGCTAATTTAGACGAAGATATCGTCCACCGAATGATACACCAATTTCAACTAACACGCTACCATACAAACAACATAACGCAGTGACACAATAAACACACAATAACATGATAAACACACACTAACACATTCAACACACTAACACATACCAAAGGCGGCGTCGCCAACGCCTGACTTTCCATGTGGGACACCGGCGCGAAGCCCGCGGTGCAGAGCACCGGGAGCCCACGCTACAGACAACCGTTCGCGGCAGTCGCCACGCGCAGAAGAGGCTCGCTCAACGCTCGCCCACCACCAAGGCCTGCCTTCCGCCAGGGGCCACCGCTGGCGCTACCACTCTACCAACAGTGGTACTCAAAGCGAACACAACGCCATCTATCGCCCGGCGGTGGTCAACACCGAAACAAAGCCTTGGGGCGAAACACGTGCGCCACGCGGCACAGACAACTTTACAGGGGGGGGCGTCAGCACCCCCACAATATTAATTTACTAATACGCCAAAAATTATTTTTCTTTCGCCTCACCATGGTGGTCTAGTGGCTAAGGTGCTCAGCTGCTGACCCACAGTTCGCGGGATCAAATCACGGCTGAGGCGGCTGCATTTCGGATGGAGGTGGAAATGCTGTAGGCCCGTGGACTCAGATTTGGGTGCACGTTAAGAACCCCAGGTGGTCGAAATTTCCGGAGCCCTCTACTACAGCGTCTCTCATAATTATATGGTGGTTTCAGGACGTTAAACTCCACATATCAATCAATCATCAATCAATGATTTTTGTCTTTTATGTCCCTTAAGGGACGAAATATGTTGCGACTCTGACAACTAATAATCTTAAGCTTTTGTTAAGGTGCTTTCCCGCATGACACCAGTGTACTGCAGTGAAAGTGTTTTCAAAATTGGTTTACCACCGAGTAAATTATGGCGAGACTGTCTTGTGTATTGTTTTTTCTTCTCAGTCAGTCTTGGATTGTGAGTGTGCAGTTTGGCTCCTTTGTTGGCAGGCAATAGGCTTTATTTGGACCTAAATGTTGAGCTAGAAGCAACAAAATTGGCAAATATCTTCAAGGACGGATAGGCAAAATACTTCGGGGAGACACTAGTCTTATAATTTTTTTTTAAGTTTGAGAATTTAGAGCTGAGGTTTTTATATGATATTCATTTTTTACAGCTGAAAACAAATATGCAATTGGTTTTCAGGTGTCGCTTCCATATTTTAAAATATTGACTGTTTCATGAAGTTACAGTCTGCCCACTGTTGACCACTGTTTAAACAGCTTTCTCATAAAAGACTGCTGCAAATTAGATATCACAGTGTTCTGTAAAGAACAAAGATTGCAAGGAAACCATAATTGTATTTTTAGCTTTCATTATGGCATTAAGAGTTGTGGCCTTGACAAGTAGACTCATCAGAACTCTGAAAGTGTTGCCTAAATATATTACTAAATAAGCACTGTTTTTAATATAAATATCATAATTTTTTTGTCTTGTTGCACTCATCAAAGTATAGGCTTTTAAATGCAGAAAAAGGTATCAAAATTCAACCACTAGATCAAAAGATACTGTGGGCAATGACCTCGGACGTTATGAAAAATGTTTTGAGAAAACGACAAAAATAGTTTGGGGGGGAGGGGACACGGTGAGCATGTATATTCAACATGTAAAGGTGCTACTCAGTGCAATAATGATGCTAGAAGCAACCAGGAGTATAGTCCTCATCATTCTTCATGCGCTTTCTTTTCATTGCACACCAGATGTTTCCAGGGTTTCCGTAGTTCAGGTTGGCATACAGCGTTTTCACTGTGCTCGTGCTGCCGTCAGTAACGTGTGGGGCAGCCTTATGCGAGGCAGGAATCATTTCCACTTTCACATAATCTTTATGTGTCTTTGTGTACATGCATATTCGTGAAACATTCAGGGGGAAAAAAAATGCAATTCAACGCAGTTTGTCCGTTCGCTGTTCCGCGCGAACCGCAAGCGCGTCTATCTCGAACAGTCCTCGCGCCGCATCCCCCCCCTGCTCTCGGCGAGCACCGTACAGTTTTCAGTTCCCGCACTCATCAGACGTCGGCACAAGTTTCGTGGCGATGCCATATTCCACATCTTTCTTCGAAATGCTGCCAGGCCCGCCGCATACAAGGCACTTCATACACTGAAGCAGTTTATTCATTATTGCTAAGCTTACAACAATGAACGGCGTTCCAGTAGTCGCGATCCCTTCAGAGTCTTGAAAAACAGAACGCTCGCATCGTGTGGCTTACGTCAACGAAAGGTCTCTCTGAATGTGACTCACATGACACTCAAGGAACACTTATTCAGTGTCAGAAACCAGAGGAGTGCCGATGCAGAGATCTCGGGTTCATGGTCGCGGTTCGGGATATGACCGTTTTTGAGGTGGTGTTCGAGTGGAAATGGTCACGAAACTGACTTTGAGACCTAATTACTCGACAAATACGTATTACATGGCAAAAGCATTTTAGGAACACCTTTTCCAGACCTTCCATATTATTTAAAAAATACTTCAAAAATCAATTTCTAGAAAATTTTTCGGCCTTCGAGACCCATGTTTTCCCTTAAATTAACCAATTTTGTGCACTGGGGCAGCTTGAACCGAGTGGCTTTAAATATATTGAAAACATAGTTGGCCAACCAAAAATTTGAAACAGGCTTGAATGATCAAGGTTTGAATTACTGAGCCTACTCTAGTTTATCAATCACTGTGAGCTGTATGTATAGAGTCTGTATCCAAATACATGGAGAGTCAAGGAACAAGAAAATCGTTTCTTTGACTGCATTGTTTTCTGTCTTTCTTCCTTTCAATCTTTTGCATTATGAAAGGAGTCATTAAACAATTTGAATAGTCTGGTTTAGAGAGCCCAATAAAAAGATGTTGATTATTTTGTGCAGATTGGCTTCACCACTGATCCCCGAGTGGCACGTTCTTCTCCCTACTGCACGGATGTTGCCCGTGTGGTCAATGCGCCCATCTTTCATGTGAATGCTGATGATCCTGAAGCTGTCGTGCATGTGTCAACAGTGGCTGCCGAGTGGCGCAGCCGCTATGGAAAGGATTGCGTCATCGACCTGGTAATGATGAAGGAATGAAGCTTTATAGCATGTGTATAATTGACAGGCCCTTGTTGCTGAGCTAGTTCGTTTATACTTTCAAAGGGACTGACAACCGATTTTTTTCAGCCCAGTTTTTTCCGGCGTGACAGAAAGCTTACCTTTTTAGCCGTGCTGACTAGCAGTGCAGGTCATTTCTGAGACAAGTTGTAAACAGAAAACCACGTTGCTCAAAAATTTTAGCGACCTGGAAAGTGCATGGTTTTATCAGCGTGCAGAGAAGTTGTTCAAATGCTTTGATGAGCATGGTATCATTACGTCACACGAAGGCAGCGCCACTTTAATGCGTGCTTTTAACACAGGCCTAAATATGTATTTTTGTAAAGCAGTATCTTTTACTACAAAGAAGCAAACAATATTTCAAAACCAGCACAAAAATTGTTGACCGCGTACACCAGTGTACAGTCACATGACAAGGCACATTGAATAATTTAAGTTTCTGCCACCAGGTGGTGCCACAAGCCATTTTCGCAATTTTCAATAAAGATATAACTCCACTTTTCACGAGAAAAACAGGATTGGTTTAAGTTACTATGAGGGACAATCTTTCCATTCGGGGAGTCATCTCATTTTGTGTTCTGGGCATTTGTCAGTCTCTTTAACGAAAAAGGGACACCGTGCAAAGAGTACGGGGACGAAGTGAAGAGACGAACTGACAGACATGTGTGCCATGATTTTCTCGGCGGGCATTCCTGTCAGTTTGTTTATTCACTTCGTCCCCGTCCTTTTTGCACCGTGTCTGTTTTTCTTGGTGTATTGTTGACTTGCACTGTATTTGAGATGTATTTTGCTTTTGCTGTCCTGTTGCAGCTGAGAACCTGAGAATGTAGGGCTAGTTAAGGTGTTTGTATGCAGCTCTTTTTCTCTTGTTCCTACCACTTGCTGTGAAACTGTATGTGGTAAATAAACTCGAACCGGTCTGACAGTTCAGGAAGCTATGTACAAGTAATGTTGAAGAGCAGTAGGTACAATAATTCCCAAAACCCCAAAAAAGGTGTCTCAAAAGAAGTGCAGCAAAAGCATAATGGGCTGCACGTGTACAAAAGGGGTTAGGATTTGCACTGTGCGTCAGTGGGAAGCACTGACTCTAACTTGGTAAGTTCTTAAAATACAGAGAAAGGAGCCACGGAATGCCATATGTGTCAATGCATTGTCTATTGTCCTTTCTGCTCAGATTTGATATTGTTACTTGGTATCTTTAGGACTATGTGAAAGGTCTAAAATGTTTATCACAACTTTGGGAAAAAGGAAAAAAAAAGCTTTTGTTCACACTTGTGGCAAAATTTGCAGTGCCACTTCATTTCTTTGTTGGTCAGCACGTCGCTCATCAGCATAGGGAAATTTTTATAGTTATACCCTTGTTTAGTGCTATTTCATAAAACAAGAAATATTTACCAAAATAAATGAATATCAAATTACCGAAAACATCGTGAAAACAAATAGCTGTTAAATCTGTGCACTTTTATTCACCAAATCCGCGAATTCTGCTCTCTCTGCCTGCCAAGGTAGTCTAGTGGTAATGGTGCTCGACTGCTGACCCGCAGGTCACGGCATAGAATGCTGGCTGCCTTTTCGACGGAGGCGAAAATGTTTGAGGCCCAAGTACTTAGATGCAGGCGCAGGTGCTCAATAAAGGAGTCCAGGAGGTCGAAATTTCTGAAACCTTTCACTATGGAGTCTTGCATAATCATTTTGTAGTTCTGGGAAATTAAACCTGAACAGTTAATAATTAATCCAGCTCTTTCTATTGAATCACCTTAAACTCGTTTGAAGCGACTGCACTCTCCACTTTTAATATGCATGAGATTTCAATGAACAAACAAAATGTGCAAATATTTTGTTCGTTTGCCCGCTGATCTTCAAGATCTGGAAAACTCATCGCTTGCAGACCATGGTGGCCTCTGCTTGAAGACTTGCACTCGAAGGTTGACCTTTTCAGCTTTCGCCAGGAGCGAATACAGGTTTCCGGCACACCAAAATGACGGGCTGCACTCCTGTTGCCACTCTCTTTCGCATGCAGAATAACTTAACGTTTGAAACTGGTTTTTGTGGTGGACGCAACCTGCTTTGTGGCTGATTTATTTATTTCTACATACTGTCAATCCCTGAGGGATTATAACAGGTGGACAATCTAAAGCAGTGATTAAGTACAGTCAATAGAAAGGGAAGAATAATAAGAAAAAATAAACAAAATAACAAAAAAAGAAAACATATAAGCACATTTGTCAAAGTACAGTCATATTGGCACTTTACTTAAATAACAAGAAAGATCACATCGCACCATATTATGTTTGCGAGGCTGTCAAGTCGCTTTTACTAGTTTTGTGAAAGTGGCTAAGGATGTGCTACTGGTAATGGAGGGGGACAGGTTATTCCATTCTCTGATCGCAAGTGGGAAGAACGAGAATTTGAAGGCGTCTGTGTGAAATCTGTAAGGGGCAAGGGTATGAGAGTATTTGTGGCGGGTAGTTCTAGTTGTGGATAGCTTTATGTAGCGGGATTTGTCTATGTTTATTTAGTTGACCATGTAACAGTTGGTACATCAGCTTTAAGCGTGCCAATATCGCCCGGTTTTTTTATGGTTAGTAGTCCAGCCTTTTTAAGCAGCTCCGTAGGTGAATTTGTTTGGTTAAATTTGTTCAAGATGACCCTAAGCGCTTTTCGTTGAACATATTCGAGCTTGCTGGTTAGTTTTTTTGTGTACGGGAACCAGGCAGTGTTTGCGTACTCCAGGATTGGTCGTATAAGTGTATTGTAGGCCAGTAACTTTGTGTGTGGTGGTGCTTGCTGTAATCGCCTTTTTATAAATAAGTCTTTTCAGTGCAGATGATGTGATGTAATGAATATGAGCGTCCCACCGTAGGTCATGCGACAGGATGACCCCTAGATACTTATGTTTCGTAACTTTAGAAAGGGTAGCTGAATGGATGACGTAATTGAAATTGGATGGATTCTTTTTTCTAGTTATAGATAAGAGCGCAGACTTTTTTTGTTGATGTTTATTTGCCAATCACTGCTCCAGACTGAAACTGCGTCTAGCGCTGTATTTATGGCGATATGGTCATCGTGTGAGTGTCTTTCTTTGTACAGGATGCAGTCATCTGCAGATAATCTGCATCCAACATTAACAGATGAAGGAAGATCGTTCACGAAAATTAAGAATAATACCGGCGCCAAAACACTGCCTTGTGGTACGCCAGAGGTCACCGGTACGATTGAAAATTGGACATGGTTTAATTCCACGAACTGCGACCTGTCTGCTAGGAAGTTAGTAATCCAGTCAACGATTTGGCCCTTGCCTAGAAGAAGTTGGAGTTTCAAGATGAGTTTGCTGTGTGACACTTGATCAAATGCTTTCGAGAAATCTAGCAGAATAAGATCAATTTGTTTTTGGCGATCGATGCTTAATGAGGCAACATGGACTATTTCAATGAGTTGTGTTACTGTATACATGCCCTGGCGGAAGCCGTGTTAAAAAGGGGACAGTGTTTTGTCCCCTTTTCCATGCGTCCATTCTTGGGCAAAGTAGCGGACAGATTTCATGTCCCACAGTGTCAGTACGGGATCAATTTGAAATGCCTCCAGGGATGCAGTAAGCGACAAACAAACATGCTGTCATGATTGCCAGTCACCAATGAGCAGTTTTACCACATAATGGTAATGACGATGGGCAGCTGTGGGTTAGTTTCAGCTTGTACCCGAATCTAGCGGTCATGCGATTTTAAGGCCTATTTTTTCTAAAGAAGGGTGTGCGGTGGGATTGGGTAAATACAGTACATGTTAACAAGCCAAATTCACACAAATATGTCACTTGAAAACGGTAAAGGAAGGAGGTTCACAATAAGAAGGAATTACAGAGAAGCATTTATTTGATGCTGCATGATAAAGAATAGTGGCCTCAAGCAGTCTTCCTTTATTTAATTGATTCTGCTGTGGTTGTTTGCCAGAATTTAACTAATCAGTGTGCCAGCATAGATGAAGACATCCATGCCTTCATCTTTGATGGAGTTTAACTGAATGAATCGATAGTTTATGAACGGCATTCCGACTCATAAGCTCACGTTCATCTTGGATTCTGGCGAGCATTGTGCTTGCCATTGCTTGCCTGAATTTTGAGATGAGTGTTGATGTTGCCAGTCTAAAGCCTTCTGAATTTTCATAAATTGCGAAACATTCATGCAAATCGTACCTCTTAAAAATAATTGAAAAAAAAAAAATTTCCAGCCATGTTACAGGTTATGGTAATCATAGGTCAGCAAAGCTTGTGTAGCTCACTCGGACTCACACTCGTGAAAGTTTCCTTCAGCTGTCTCACTCGGACACCAAAATGTAACTTCACCCAGACCCACTCACTCGAAACTTGATCCGGGTCCGAGTGAGTCCGTCTGTCTAGAATCAGCTTCTCCGACCATGGTGTCATTGCTCTCTAATACCTATATCTCGCGATATTGGTGCTCTTCTTGGTGCCGTTTGACATAGTACCTTCAAAAATGAGTTCTGAATACTTCCAAACCGGTAAGGTAATTTTTCTTGGAATAGATGACAGCATAACCTATAATAATCAAGGGATTCCCTGTAAGAGTTCGTGGAGGGAGTTCAAGGACATCCCCCTTTGTAGTTCATGCCTCTAATTAATAAATATTAAAACGGTGTATATACGACAATGTTTGGAATACCTGTGAGCAGGCATGAGTTAGAACATCAATCTAGTAGGACTGATAGTAATCCTGGAGATCACTAAATAGGGGCCTTAGGTCGGCAAAAGAAAGTGGAGCTCACTCACTCAAAAAATATATCTTGATCTTTAGACTCGCTCGGACTCGATCTGAGTGTGAGTGAGTGGACTCATGAGTGAGTTCGCCGACCTATGATGGTAATATACCTCTCCCTGTTTGCAAACATAGTAACATCACTGCATGCACCCCGCCCACCAACCTCTCCTTCGAAGCAGGTACTCGTTG